GGGGGGGGGGGTGAAGTCAATTTGTGCTTAATAGGAACGAGGGTCCTTTGACGAAAGACTCATTTCTAGTTCAAGTATTGCGCACATGACTTTCATCCAAAAGGCCTTATATCAATAGAAAGTGTTGATATCGAAAATTGGACCTTTCACGTGGTCAATCGATAGCTACTCCAAGTATTTCTCCCTGCGCAAAATCAACGCACGGTCAGACGCACACGACCGGGACCAGCGGGGGTGGTGACGGCCGTATACACTTCGACGGTCAAGTCAGGTTTAGGTGATCGGAACAGTACCCAGGGGTTGTGCAAAATAATAATAAGGGGGAGGAGAAAATATATAAACTTGCTATGGAGTGCTATGTAGTAAGAGTTTCATTACATTTGCCTCTTGCCAAACCTTAGGTATTTATAGGTGGGATGAACCGTTGGATGTGGGACACGTATATACATTTGACGGTGTGAGGCGTCCGCTCATAAGCGTCAATCAACCACGTCTGAAGAGTGGGCAAGCAGCTTGTTTCTCCTGAGTTGAATTGACATAAAGTTGATAAGTCACATCAACTAGCCTCATGAAGACGTCAAATCAACTTAAACCTTAGGTGTAGAGAGGATCTTGGCACAAATATCTATCTAAAATTGGCGAAGGATCTTCTGACAGGGTCCACTTGGCCTCGGCCTCGGAGGCGAAGAGCCTCGGTCATTCAGCAGGATAGCCTATACCTCCCAGTGTACTACTAAGCTGTTGACATTGGTGATATCACTTCTGAAACACTTCGGACGGGTGTCTATCAGGTCGGAATGTGTGGTGGTGGGCATTTCGAGGCGGTTCAGATAGGGGCATAATAGTGGTCCCCCAAGTCCAGGTATGAATATTTATATCATGGGTGGACTTGCTTTCCTGACCGGATGTGGATGCCTCGGTACTAGGGACCACTACTCGTGGGAGCTCGTGGGTCGATCTTCTGCAGTAACCGAAACCTTGATCTTAGGCAGATGCGCCAAAGCTTCGTTACTGTGTAAGGGAAACAATAACCGATGTGAGATCGAAGCGCTGCAAGACTGGAAGATTAGTAGGAAATAAGGTCTACGTGACGATCGAGGCTATGACCCACATAGGACTCGCGTCAGGGGTGCCTAAGTTTTGTAAAATTGGGCGAGGAGCTCATCTGCCGCCATTACGCTGACCCACAGGGACGACGCGTTGGGAGATGGCTTAAAACATTGTAAAGCTTGGGAGGGAACGTAGCGTCTGAGGCGATGACTCACAGGGAATTTCACGTTAGATGCTTCTAAGCTTTGTAAAGTTGAGTGAGGGACTCAATCTGAGGCGATTCAAATGTCAAATGATTTGACAACTGTTGCGTATTTCCAAGGTGATAGTTGGGTGCCATGCCCATTCTCCTAAAAGGCTGCTGCGGCTACTTATTATTGACGGCTGGTGGTGACCGAGGTGACACGTTTTAAGCGAGCGTGAAAGTCACAACGAAATCTTGGGCGTAGGTCAAATCTGGCATTTCATTTCAACTACCCTGATTGAAGATGCGACGAACGGCTTAGATTGATCGCATTTGAATTCAACGGTGGAGATCGGATGAGTTTTTCTATAAAAGGCGGACTCTGAGCTTTTATCAAGTTTTCTACCCTTACGAAACAAACATTATACTTTGCTCTCAAGTCATTTGCAATTTCGGCGTTTTCTAAGCAATTTCGACGAGAAAATTGAACTTCCGGTGAGAAACACCAACATCCGGCGACCTTACACCATTCCCGGCTAGGAAAACCTTCAAACTCGTAAGTTTCAATACCTTTTAGGATTTTTAAATTCTGAAAAATGGCCTCTGAGGAGAATTCTGGTTCGGGGAGGGGGTTATAACTAGTGAGGATGGACGAGCCCATTGTGGCGACCTCCTCAAAAATAGTCAAGGCGATAATAGGGGAAAAATACATGGAAGCGACCGGATAGCCCAGCAGATACTTCTGTGCACTGGGGGGGCATCGGACTACCCATCTAAATTAAGAGAGCCCGACCTAGGGAGACTTAGGACAGAGTATAGGATCCCTGATAGCATAAATTTGATCCTCCTCGCTCCCGAAGAGAGGGCCTGCTACCCTAGGTCGGGTTGTGTGGCCATTAGCGGGGCGATCCTTAGGGCCCGACTTAGGCTGCCAGTTCACCCATTCTTTAGGATGATGCTTAGATCCTATGGGCTAGCCCCGACGCAACTCAATCCAAACTCCTGGAGCCAAATGGTAGGCTCCTGGATGTTGTTGAAAGAGGCGTCATTAGGGGTGGAGATGTCCCTTTCCGTCTTCCAAACCCTTTACATACCTAAGGTAACTGCCGGGAGGGATAAGACCCGGGGGTGGTACTACCTTACTTCATGGGGTTCCCACACTCCATTCGTACTCGATCTGTCGAGCTCCATCAAAGAATGGAAGAGCTTGTGGTGCTGGGCCGCAAGGCGATGGGACACGATGGAGGGGGACCCCCTGGCGCCTCTTACGGTCCCGACGAAGTATTCAACACTTAGTGAGTATAGTAGTTGCTTTTCTTTATATTTCTCTTTGGTTCGAATCGTGCCTAATATTTGCATTTCCTTTGTAGGTGCTCTTCCTCGGTGCGAATTGTCATCCGATGACTTCGAAACCATCTGCATCATCTATCAGCTGTCTCAAAAGAAGAGGTCTTACCATGGGCTGATCCGAAAGAACATTCACTTCATTACCCACGACCTGATGGCATCCCAAGGTAACTGGACCGAAGTCTTTACCTTTTATTCTGAACTCTCAACACTCGTACTAATTCATCATTCGTTCTTTGTAGACAACTTTAATAAGAAAATGCCCGTGCATCCCTACTTTAAGACCATCCAGAAGATGATGGCAGAGGTACGGGCATTGAAGGCCTCCTTCTCCTCCTACAAAAAGCAAATGGAGGATTTGGTGGACGCCAGTAAGAGGCTTCAGCCTCCAACGGAGAAGGAGGTATCGGAGGACCCGGAGGCCGACCTTCGGAGGAAGGGCAAGAAGAGTGCCGCCCCTCCAAAACGCCCAATCGTGGCGAGGCCACCCCCTGCTCTGAAGCAAACCACAATTCCAATCGGGGTGACCATTCTGGAGAAGAGGCCTACTCCATCTGAGGCTGCCGCTGCCCCGACTACAACACCACTTGCTGTTGTGCCAATTGCTCAAGTGCCGGAGCAGCAGAAGAGGAAGAGGCCCTGTCCCTCTAAGGAAGTCGACTTTTTGGGCACAAATCTGGAGGAGCCAGTGAGGGAAGTGTTGGAGGCCCTTCCTCCAGAAATAGCTGCAGTGGAGGTGGTCCACAGCAAATACTGGACCGAGAAGTGGAAGGACCACACTGCCTCGTGCACAGCTGAGGACTTGGTGGCTGCAAATAGCGCCTGCGTGGCTCGGGCCCTGAGTACAAGCATCCAACTCGAGGGCCTGGTGAAGGATCTAAACTTTAAGAGGGAGGACCTCGCAAAGCGCCTCGAGGAGGCGATGCACTATGGGGATGCAGTGCGAGAGGCCCAGGCCAAGGCCACACAGGCGGAGGAGGGAAAGAAGGAGGCCAAGGCCCAGCTAATTGCCGCCAAAGCGGAAGTGGAGCGACTGAAGAAGGAGTTATACGAGGTGAAGTGCCAAGTGGCTGCTGTGACTCGGCGACTTGATCACGCCAACGAGCACCACAAGCTCGCCACCAAGGCTCTGGAGGCCTCAAACAAAGAGAAGGCGGAGCTGAGGTAGAAGGCAGAGGCTCAGTCATAGGAGATTGCCTCTTTGAAGGAGGAGTTGAAGTCTGCAGGGGAGGTAGCAGTTCAGAACTTCATCGACCACTTTGAAGACCATTCCCTGGATGACGACTTCGCCAATTTTTGGGCTTCTTGGGGTGTTCAAGGCTTATTGGGTCGACTGAAAGAAGTCCATCCCATTCTG